GACATTCCATCTGATTCACGACACACAAATACAAAGCATTGCAATAATTGTCTTGAGTTTCACTTATAAATAAAGCATTTCTTTACATTCTGTCTTCTCTCTGCCATGGGGCACAAGTGATGACTTCGTCGACCCTTAAATAATTGTCTTGAATGACTCGGATATCCCCAGCTCTGCCATACTGCCACCCTACACAAAATAGCAACCATCAAAATAGCCATGGTGGAAATCACAAGCAAGAACTGTGACCGTAAAACATGCAATGCATAAGCCATATCTAAAATTTTACTGTGTTCATTCTCGTCCGACCATGACATTGGTTCCTCATTCCTAACTTTGTGATCACCCATGTTGAAGCTATATTCATATACATCAAATTATCATCAAATATGTAAGACCTTACGAAGGTGATTTGAGGACATATTAATGTATTTAATTATAGTCACATACAACCAATTGCTCAAAAGCATACCTAACACATGTACCCATAATTATAAGAATCAACATGTATACACACAAAAGCATCAACAACAAATGATCCAACAAATCATAGAATACGGACAAAATCATCGTTTACGAATTAGATTTACCTAATTGAAACAGGGAGATCTATAGCTTACACCAAAATCATCAACAACAAACGATCCAACAAATCATAGTATATTGAACATGTCATTTTTTTTTTTTGGGTACAATTTTACAAGACTCTCAGTACATATTTAATACAAAATATTATTATATGCGACTAAATTAATCAGTAAAGTTTAAATTCAATTTACTTTTAAATATTATTACAATCCTTCAATGGTGGCAGCCATGAAATATTAGATTTGATGGCTGTGGACAGACGCCAGTGGTTATATCCCAAGTCCAACCACACAACCAGAGAGAAAAATTGAGAAGAGGATTATTTACCCAAAACAAATTATTTCTTACGACTAAAAATCAAAGAAAAAGGATTTTAAAAAAACCCAGTAGTTATTCAGATTGTTATCTAATTAAAAATCGCAAATTCATAAATAAATGGATTATATGCCCATCATTTCCTAACAATGTTTTCGTTGAAACTAAATACTGAATTAAAAAAAATGGAATTCAGGCACAGAAGATATATGGATTATATGGCCATGCCCCATAACTACCTTTCCATATCTTCAATGGAATTCATGAATAAAAACAATGGAATTCACTTCTCAATGGATTATATGCCCATAACTACCTTTGCAATCTCAGTCCATCTGTTTCCATATATGTTCTGCTCTTCAAAATCTCATAAAAAAATGCACAGGATACGTATTTTGAAGCACTCACTATTTCAAATAGCAAATTTCAACATTTAATCGAAAAAGAAAAGGGCAATTAAGAAACCTGTAGTTGTGATTGGTAGAGAGGATTGGAGGCCCAATTTCTGGTAGAGAATTCAAAATCCTTTCCTGTCATTCTAAAACATATACACAACATAAATATACATGTATTTACAGATTCAGTGCAGAAAAAATTACAGATGAAAAATGGAAGAAATGCAGACGAAAATCTAAGAAATTTTTACAGGAATTTCCACTTCTTCACGCAATTTCCCAGCCAATTTGAGGAGCCGAACCGAGGAGAATAGGAAATCGTGGGAGTAGAAGAATTGAGTGAGGCAGGCAGAGGCGCAGAGCAAACCCTAGAGAAGGAGAGGCGAAAACTTACGGGGGAGAGAGAGAGAGACGACAGTGAGACTGCGACAGAGAGGTAAGGGTTGGTTTTTCATTTGAGCGTGTTTTGTACTTGAAACGATCAAAACTAACCTTTTGAGTTTTCACTACAATTTTTTTTTTTTAAAGTTCATTTTAAAAAATCGAAAAGAGAACGTATTTTCACCATTTTGAAAAATTGAAAACAGAAAATGACTCGAAAATGACAAAAAGAACATACCCTAAAGTTAGACACCAATCTCATTTACGTTTGGAAGTTTGTTTTAGACGTTGTGAAATATTTGAGTTAGATAATTCAAAATACCTAAAGAGATGACTTCTCTTTTTTCCCTTTTCTTTTTATCGCGACTTGCAACAAATGATGGACAAATAAAGATTATTAAAATGCAAGACAACTCTATTTGAATAACTCGAAAAAATAGTTCTTATGATCTCTCCCATTACTAAGACATGGAATCAATCAAAATTTGGAGGCAAATAAATGTTAAGGCAATGGCTAGAAATTCACATACCAACCAGCATTATAAAATCACACAGTTGGGCCAGAAAGCAATGGACTGGACTAGGTTTCTAAAGTATATTACTTGGAGTCAAACCTATTCTAAATGAATCGGACCAATTTGTATTGCCCAGTTTGATTAAATAATACATTCGAAATAATGCAGTAGAGAACTACATGAAAAGAAAATAAATAATAGTAAACCACAAGGCAAAAGATTTGAGGCTCATCTGATCACTCGTCAAATTAATCATAAAATAATACAATTTTGCAATTAGGCCACTATTTAATTTTAAGTAGTTGTAACTTCACGTTCGCTGCAAAGAAAAGAATATGGAACTAGCAAAAAGAAAAATGTTAATCAAATAAATAATAATAAAAATATATTTTTTTTCCAACAGAAAAAGTATGAGATGAGCTTTGATTTATACCAGTAGAACAGAGACTCTCTTTACCTTTCATTACTGATGGTCACTTCAAACTCTTCGTTACCATAATCCTGTTGTTCTTCACGAATTTTCAAAGCTGAACTTCCGACATTTTCACCACAATAATCTACCTCGATCTTCTGTAGTGTTAGAATATTGCTAAACTCGGGAGGAATTTTGTCCAAGTTTTTACAAAAATACAACACCAGTCGTTCAAGTACAGGGAAATGATCGTGTGAGGAATTCCACTCTTCAAGATCCAGGTTACATAATCTAAGGAACTTGAGTTTTTGGAACTCATCATCCTTTGTGCTCCAAATTTCTCCTTCATATGATCTTGAACCTAATTTCAAAATCTCGAGGTTGGGAAGTGTCCCAATTAATGACATCTTTTCCCATGGCAAAAAGAGCGAACTAAGACTAAGTTTTTTGATATTCTTGGGGAAGTTAACCCCTGAGTAATCAATTTTGAATTCATGTCCTATAAATGTGAGTGATTGAAGCTGAGAAGGAAAGTTGAAATTGGGAACGAAATTGTTTGAAGATTTGCATTTAAGGGCAAGAAGATTTGGAGAACACCTCAAGATTTCTTCATGTTTCGAATTGCCAATGCGAACGTGAAAAAGGGTTTGTAGGCTATTTATTTGGGAGCAATCACAATTCTTACTGAACTTTGCATGTGTCTCAAAGGTTCCGACATCTAGATGTCTCAACTTAGGCATACTGAGAAGGTATGCTGGTATTCTTTTAACTCCCACACGAAGAACTTCTAGGTTCTGAAGTCTGCTTATTGTTGAATCTAATGATGGAATAGCCAAGTACCTCAAGTCAGGCATAATTTTGATCCCTAGTAGAATACTTGAATAATATCTTTGATCAAAGATCCTTACTTTTTCAGAATTGTAAAGAATGGATAAGGCAGGTGAGACCCGATCCATACACAAGCGATGGCGAAGCTTAGATATCAAAAATTGGCTAAAGAAGTAAAATAATAAGAATATGGAGCATTATCGTCAGTTCAACCACATCAACCAGCATCAGCAACAGCAACAGCAACATCATCATTGACATAATTATCTCAAATTAATAGGGCTAAATTGGAAAAGAAAAGTAAAATGAGAAGAAATTAGAAAGAGAGTGAGTTAACTTACTGTTGAAACAAAAATGTTTCATCTTCTACCGCCATTTTTCTGCACATGTCGAGCACTAGATCGTGAAGAGTACATGCGTTTACTCCATTGTTAGACCTTCTTGTGGCAACTTGCAGCAGGCTCCTGTCAATTAGTTCTACTAGATATTCCTCAGCAATATCTTCTAAGCTCTTGTGCTCTTTTTTTTCTATGAAACCTTCAGCTATCCAGAATAATAATAGCTTCTTAACCCAAATTTCCTCGTCTTCCTGGAATGCACTAAGATAGAGGAAACATGGTTTCAGGTGATTTGGTAAATGCATGTAACTAAGTTTCAATGTGGGAAGATAGTCGTCGGCTTTTTGGGAAATGTAAGAACTTAAACTTTTTGCAACATCTTGCCATAAGCTTTCTTTCTTCTCCATATTTGAAAGAACTCCAGCTATCGTGACAACCGAAAGAGGAAGTCCATGACAATTTGTTGCAATTTGCTTTCCAATATCTTGCAGTTCTTGAGGGCAACGGTCACTCTTGAACAGATTCTGCTCTAATAAATTCCAACTTTCACCTGGTGACATGAGAGGAGGTTCAAGAATAACTTGTGAAATTTCCAATGCCACATTTTTCTGCCGACTGGTGAACAATACTCTGCTTCCATTTTTGTCCTCAGGAAATAACCTTTTCAAATCATCCCACGCTTCTTTATCCCACAGATCGTCTATAACAATGAGGTATCTTCTCCCCTTTAAATTTTTGTAAAGAAGTTCGGCCAATTCTTCGTCTTCCTTTTTCGAAAGTTCTTCTCTGTTAAGGTTAGTTCCAGAGCTCAAAATGTCAATCAACAGCTTTCTCTTTTTGTAAGTTTGAGAAACAACACACCAAGAAAGCATATCAAAATAGTTCCGAACGTTGGAATCATTGTACACTTTCTTTGCTAAAGATGTCTTGCCAAGACCACCCATTCCAACGATGGAAATAATCTGGCGGTAGCTTGGTCCTCCAAGAATCTTACTTGCAATTTGTGTTGTCACGTCCTCGAAGCCCACAATCATCTCTTCTGCCATAGGAATGTTTTTATGTTGGGATGATGATACTTCACTTTGACTTTCTGCAATTTGTAGGCTTCCATTTCCGCAAGTCAGCTTCATTGAGACTTCAATGTAGTGATTTTTTATCTCCTTTTGCACAGACGCAATCCTTTTTAACAGAAGAAAAATTGGCTCATCCATTTCGGTAGTGGTAACATGGTCTGTGGTGAAAAACAACTTATGCAAGAAAACCCCTACTGTGTCGTATACATGTCCAATTTCTGTGATTGTATTCCCTTCAAACATCTGCTCGATCTGTTGCTGTTCCATTTCGGATGTATATTGCATTGTATCAACAAAAAAAGTTAGCAGAAATTTCAGCTCCTTCCAAAGAACTTTGACTTGATTACTCACAAGAACACTGGAATATGTTTCGCAATTAAGCAATTCTCCAATAGTTTCATAAAGAAAGTTGATAAAGCTTTCCCGAAGCACATAATGTGGATCGCCATAACCATTACATTCAAATTCCAGCGTGTTTTGAAGAGTGAAAAGCTTCTTAATGTATGGCATGAAAGAGAGAATGATTTCTAAAAAGTTTTTGTAATGTTCGGTCTCTCCATATAAGATGCAGTTGGAGGCTGCATCATCAAGACACTTCAGCAGATCAATAAATCTCGGGCTGAAGTCATTCCCTTCGGGTATTATCAAATCCTCGTGCAGTTCTTTTGCATATTTGAGAAAAGCTAAAAAGTGTGGCCCTAACCATTGAAAGTTAACAAGTTTTTCTCCTCCATCAAGCTTTAAATCTTGCAGATGGGAAAGGAGATCTGGGCTTGTGACTAGAAGTGACAGATTTTCGTAAGAGAAACCCATCAAGTATTGTTGGTTTGGACAAAATGCTGATCAGATAGAGAGTTTATTGAGAGGGAATGTGTATCAGATGTGTCTCTTAGTTGTAATCAAAATATTGTTGGTTTCAGAGAGAGAGTAAGATTGATGAGAATTAGTCATAACAACATCTCTACTTATAGGGAAGGTTGGTTGAACGTAGACCTTAGCTTAATCAAATTAATGGAATCATCAGAAAAGTGGTGTACATATCAAATGATTTTGTTTTGCTCTCAAAGGCCCACTAGGGAATAACTCAACCAAATATGCTTGTATTCAATTTCCAGTTCCCACCATAAATCCTGGCTCTATTTGATAGGCAAGAATTTCCATGGACAATGGAAATTAATTTGCATCTTCCACATTTGAGTGTTTGATGGGCAAGAATTTTCATGGAATTCATTTTCCATGCTACCCTCCAACGCGCCTATTTTCCTCGAAATCAAGGAATTGGTTTTCCCACCTATATGGTGGGAAAGTGAATTCTAGGTGCTCTCTTTTTTTTTTTTTTTTTTTTTTTTTTTTTTTTTTTTTTTTTTTTTTGCATTGTAAATAAATTCTAGGACCAATTGTAAAAGAGAATATCCCTTAAATTGACAGTTTTCATATAAAACAAAATAAAATGAACACTAAAACATGGATGATTTTTGGATTTTTTTTCCTTTTTTTTGGTAATGGAAATAAATTCTATCCGCAATATCAGTAAATTTAATCCCTTGCATCGACAATTTTCGTGTAAAACAAAGTCAAACGAACACCAAAAAACACTCTTATTTCAACATTTTCTATCAATCAAACACAATAAATTAGCAATTCCCAAGAAAACAATTTCTAGACAATTCAATTCCCTGAAATTCGTTTTCTTTCCACCAAAATCTCATCTTTGCAATCAAACAGGCAATTGAAGGAAAGAAAGAATTATTTTTTCCCTTTAAAGGTGCTACCCAAATATGTTATGTCACACTAGAGAATCGTGCTCTTGTTAACCCTTGTATATCGAAAAAGAAAATGAATAAATAGATAGGGAAATCGGGGATAACTAATTTTTGTTGTAACTCCCGTGCTACTCAAAAGAAACCAAATCTAGAGTTCTTTACAATTGAATGAAAAATGGAAGTAAATAAGTTCATAATAAGTTTGAGATTTAGAAACTTTTCATATAAAAACCAAAAATTACACCTTATTTGCATGGAGAAATAATGGAACGAATAATGTAAATATTCTTTCAGTTCCTTGCAAAATATGAATAGATCAAATTCCTTCTTCCTTTTTTTTTTTTTTTTTTTTTCCTTCACGCACGATTTATCATACCTACTGCTAAATTTAGTACCACAGAAGGCATATTAAATGATTAAAATGGTGCCGAAACTCATACTTTACCAATTTATGAGACTAACCCCCAAAATGATTGAAATCAAGACAAGAAAAACGACCAAGAAATGTAGGAAAATATACCTTTACCTAATCAAGTCCGCATTTTTTGGGCTTTTCAAATAATTTGATTTTAGCGTCAAGTTAGTTGAAAATTTACCTTTGCCGATTGAAGCCGGAGTTTTTAAGGAAAACAATGGCCATATTAAGATAATTAATTAATTAATAGAAAATGATGGCCATATTAAGATAATTAGTTAAGTAGTAGAAATAAAAGACAAGTGGAGTAGGTTAGAATTTTTACCTATTAAATGATTTTCTTAACTGACAAGTTTGATATTATCAAGAAAAGAAAGCACAACACAAGAAATGTATGAAAATAGATTTTTGCCTAATCATGTTGGCTTTTAATACATCTTTTTAATTATATCTGTCTTCTCAGATAATTTTTTAAGTTCAAGTTGATTGAAAATTAACGTTTACCTAACGAAGTTGATACTATCTATGAAAAAGATGGCCATATTAAGGCAATTTAATTAAGTAACAGAATAAAAAGACAAGTGGCGAAGTAAGTTAGAATTAGTACATATTAAATTATTTTGTTTCTTTTTTTCTTTTTTTTCCTTAAAGGACAAGTTGGAAAATATAATAAAGATGCTTGTATTCCCCATTAGCAATCTCAATAGAAGGGAAGAAAGTAGAGATGGCAATTTGAACCGTTAAAATCGAAAATCGCGGTTAACCGAACAGAATGGGGCGAAAAAAATTGAACCGATGGTGCAATGTGGTGGATATGAGATTTTATTTTAACGAACCGGATCGTGGCAGTGCAGGTATGGTATTTACGCTGTCGAACCGAAACCGAACCGTTTATCCGCTTAAAAAAAACCATTCTTTTATTAGGGATGGCAAGGTTTAGTGAGAAGGAAGTTGACGAAGATGTACATTTTTTTATTTAAATCTTAGTTAAAACCATTTTGAATTAGATAGTATCATTGTATTCTCTACTTACATTTCTTATTTACTATATAAGAATCAATTTTGAGTGTTGACCTATACTAGTAAGAGTTGTGGGGAAGAATGAAGATTGAATATGAGTTAAGGTTGAAACTTTTGAATTATTGATCATGAATCAAGTAACTATAATGTACAAGAATAAAGAATGAAGGAAAAGTTTAGTATTTTTATATTCATAGCACCGTTTGTTAAATTTTTATTTTGCAATTGGAATTTGGGATAATGTTTGCATTTTCATTTTGAATATTATGTTTTTGTTTCAATTGACTCTCTTTTCATAAATTGTTTTATATAAATTTGACGGATGAACCTATAAAAAATAATTTCTATTCGTGGTTATTAACCGAACCGAATCGAATCGAACCGAGTCAAACCGAGATACAAATCGAACCGAACCGATTTACGTGGTTATGATGCGATTATGGTATGACAAAAAATTTGACAGTTCGGTGATGGTTTTGGCCGAACTGAACCGAAACCGAACCGTTGCCATCCCTAGAAGAAAGAAATACTAGAAGGCATCCATAAAACATTTTTCACTTTTATGTAGGGATGTCTACGAGTCAAATCGAGTCGGCTCATTAGTCGGAACTCAAAGTTCGGGCTCGGCTCAAGTAAAAATGATTCGAATTTTTTTTGCCCTAGTCGAGCCAAACTTTTGCTTGGCCAAAAAATTTAGGCTCGATCCTACCTTTATGCTTGAGCTTTAGCGAGCAATGTCAGGTCAAGCTCGCTCCTTTTTTTTTCCCCTTTATAAATATAGCTGCCCTGGCAGTCGCCTTAAAAAGGCAGTTGTTATTGCAGGCAGTAATTAAGGCAGCTACGCAGCTTGCCCTATATATATATATTATAAGTTTTAAAGATTTTTCCTTTTTTTTTTCAAGATCGCTCGTTACGGGCCGAAATGACCCGTGACATGGGCTGGTTCCTCAAGCCAACGCCCCAAAATAGGGCCCCGTAGAAATGTGCAACGAGCCCGGCTAGCTCGAGCTTTTCTCGGGCCAAGCCATGGCCCTCCCGAGCGGATGAGCCAATTGACACCCCTACTCTTGTGAAGGAAAACTTGAAACTTTTTTCACTAGTAAATGTGCTGCACCCAAGATATCAAACGGAGGTTGTAACTATAAAATCAAGATTGTAACTTCTTCTAAGGCCTACAATTAATTTCTGGAATGCAAAGAAAGCAAAATAATATCAAATTGGCATAAAACTTCATTCAAAATGTCGAATCAAAACCTCAAATCAAAGTATTCTTCTATTCCTGTTTAATTTTAAGATAAGATTTTAACTTCAATTAATACTTATATTACAAACTTATAAAAGTCCTTCACCGCGATATCTACAAAAATTACACAAACCATAACAACCACAATAGTAATAACCAAGAAAATCCAATCTGTTTCTATGACTGATTTTCAACTAATCAATTAAAATTCAACTCAAAAGTGGAAATAAATAGAATACATATATATTAAAAAGAAAAACGCAGATGAGCTATTTTAAAAGTGATCAAAGAAACAACAAAAAGAAAAAGAGTTCAAAAATATTATAAAAGAAGCAATGCCATGGTCGGTTTCCAAAAGAGATGACATTGGTGAGGTATAGAGTGGTTCGTCGGAGCGATGCATGATTCTTGATGAAATGGGATTTTTGGGCAAATGTGGCTCCTTAGACATGCATAGATTCCATATGGATGTCTAGCAAATTAGGGTAGTAATAGTAGCCCCCAATGTCCAATTCTAATATAAATATTTAAGTTATGAACTTGAAGGTTTTACTTTGTTGATGCTTCGCACTTCTAGAGTTCGTTTGGGTGTTGTTCGGTGATGCTTCATGGCCTTTTTGTGCTTATATTTTTCTAAGATCTTTCATGCTTTACTTGACGATGTTTCTTTTTTGGTTCTTGGTAACGTCTTACTTTGAAAGTGGATTCCTAACAATAGTTACGCAAATTCGAGCCTAACATTTATATTGTCCTAGCCCCTAGGACATGCAGATGCCCACAATATGAACTGCAACTGTCGACAACGAGGGACATGAAGAGATGTCATCTTACTCTTGCCATTATTATCTCCGCCTCTTCATTCCTTATGCTCTGTTCCATGCAAAATCCATGACCGTATGTAGTTATTTAGAAATCTCGGCCATACTTTTCAAATGTATAATGCTATCTAGCACCATTCTAAGTGGTTACACTTGTAAGTGTTATGCCCTAGGTCCAATCAACCTTAGACAGAAATACTTTTATTATATAATTGACACAATTTTATGGCAAATCTATTATTTAATTAATATTCAATTAAATTAAATAATATAGTCCGTAGATTCAAATCTTGATAATTTGTTAATCACAAGGAGTTATGATTGTGAGATACAAATTACATAAAATTGAATCTTAAATCGTCCATGGTCGTGAGTAATAATGAGATACGGATATCGTTATTATGGATAGACTTTCCCGTGTGACATTTCTTATTTTTGAAGTAAGTAGCTTATCTCACAAGTTAAAGTGTAGTGACATTTAAATAAAGACGTGGATATTTTGTTGTAGAACAAAACATTAGAGACCCGCTGAGAGATTCCACATAGATAACTATCTGAGTGTCAGTGGTTAATCTCTAACGTTCGGTAGTGAAATTGGTCATTTGACTTGAGGTTATCTTGGTGCCTTATATGAGGGCAGTCATACTTTGGCGATGTTGGATGTTGCTTTGTCAGGGGTCGCTAATACGGTGTCATTCGAGTATGTCAAAAATTATATGAAGGTTCTAAATGATCAATAGAGGATTCATCACTCTTAGATAGTAAGAGATTATGATCTACATTTTATTCGGTTAAGTCGATAATGAAATCATTGGCCTAGGTGTACTCATAAGTCAAAAAGGAGTTTTCGAATTATATTGACTTAATAGTGAAAGGAAAGATATAATCGATAATTAAGATTGATATTTATCATATCTCGTAATTGATGGGATCATATTGACAAAGGAATTATTGTTTCACAGTAAACGAATGAGTTTGGTTTTGTCATACCACGTGACATTTTCCGTCACATAA